CGGTGCGAGAGAAGCGTTTTGGGGCCCTGGGCAGCCCCTCTGCGCTCAGGCACAAGGACACCCGATGACAAGGGACACTACTCCCAGCAACTCTATTTCTCTCTGCTTTTGCCAGCCGAAGACACGTTTTGCATCTTTAATGCCAGAGATAGCCCTTCCGCCTCATTCTTGAAAAGTTTCCTTGTTTTTACCCAGTTCCCCTTTTCTGAGCCTGTTATCTCACTGGCCATGGACCACAGCAGATCGAAAGCAGAAGGACGGGACAGAGGAGGCTCTGGAGAGGACGGCAGTATGGTTCACATTTATTTCCATTACCATTAAAAATTAAGCACAGCATTGGCATAAAATAATATTTGATAGGGGAGGCATGTGGTAAAAAAAATCCGTGAGTCTCTGGGGCTTAATGAGCCTCTCGGCAGCCGAGGTGAGAGCCAAGGACAGGAGACCTGCAGACTCTCCCTTTTTGTCTGGTGCCTTTTGCCAGAGGTGTAAAACAACGTGACCTGAGGTGTTATGGAGGCATGGGGGATTTTTGCTTTTTTTTTTTTTTTTTTTTTTTTTAAGTTTAGGAGGATATGAGAAACCTGCAACCAATAGTGCTAAAATGCAGATGGAAAGTGAGCCTGGTGGAACCAGCCTGTCAGGGGAGGCTGCAGCAACCGGCTCTGCACCATCCAGCGGGCAAATGCACAAGTTAACACAGCGTGAGCAAACCCACCGAGCTGCAGGAGGGTCCACCCGGCTGCGACTGCCAGCAGAAAAATGCTTTTCTTCCTTTTATTTATTTATTTACCTCTGAATAAATCATGCTTTTTAGTTACATTAAGTTAATGCAGGGAAAAGGAACTTTTAGGAAAAGATCATGTCTCTTGGTGTGACTGTGCTTCTATAGACATTAACATATTGATAATATATATGTGTATATATACACAATATATAGATCTACTGCATATAAGTCTGATTTAAACGTATTGCATGACCTCGATGAGTGCGTTGGGATTTCTTGCAGCATACGAAGCCCATCCGCTGGGGCCGAGAAAACACGCAGTGACTACGAACTACGAGTTGCTCCCCTGTCCCCAACATTTCAGCACGGACA